CACCCAGCGTCCGCGTCTGCCGGTTGAAGCGCAAGGTTGAAGTTGCCCGCGCGATAATCTGGCTACAAGGCAGGTGCAAATGCTATCGGAGTAAGGGCAGTTTTATTTAAAAAACTCGCACCCAACCGCTTTGCAGCCCACCATCTTATCACGCCACGCAATACACAGGTTCCGCAGGGGGACAAGGAGAGAAGCTCAACAGAGAACTCAAGGCGCTAAGGAGGCCAGGATGAAGCACAACAGAATAGACCACTAGAATAAGTAGTCTTATCAACTCCGACATTGTCATCGCAGTTCCTCAACTTTTTTCGCGTGCTGTTCATTCAGCCTTGTTTTGTCGGAGTAGAACAGTGCCGCAAACTCCTCCCCCTTCCACCCCCCCCCCCACCCCCCCCCCCCCCCCCGCCACCCCCCACCCCCTTTTTTTCTCTCTCTCTCTCTCTCTTTCTTTGGTTTTTTTTTTTTTTCCTTTTTTTTTTTTGTATTTTCGTGCAGCTGTCGAACGAGCACCAATCCGGGTGCCTTTAACCAGCACAGGGTAGGCACGTGTTCACCCCCATTATCCATCCGAATCAGGCTGACTGCATGAGTCGGAACCAGTAATCAGTGAGGATAGTGAGGTTCTGGCAAAGTAGGGCAGCAGATAGGTTCCACCGGTTTTTAATCTACTCCCCACGACGTTCTTCAACCCCCGCTTAGCCGTCGGGCAGTTTCTTCTCGTGTATCCCGGCAGCCTGTACCACACTCTGAAATTGTCGGGGTAATAACTTGAATACCGTTTAATCGTGGGCTCTTGCGGCTGTCCCCGAAAACGACTTCCCAAGATGGGGAAACCATTCTCGCAACTGTCGAACAGGTGGCAAAAGCTCCAGGCACGCATCGTCGAACGAGGATTTTTCGGGTGTCCGGACCCGAATTGCCCTCGCCGCCTGCGTCCTACTCCGATGAGTGTGATTTTGCCACTCTGTTGTTTGTTGCAGCCCGCAAGTGTCGGCGGGTCCAAAGTTCCCGTCTGTCCACACACACTTGTGCCGAAAATCGTTGATGACGCGCCCGCCAATGCAGTAAAGGCCGCTGCACTTAACAGGTCGGGCGGGACGGCAGTTGACTCCCGCATAAATCGGGCAAGCCTCGTGGCGTCTCTCCTCGTCACAAGCATTTTCAGACGCAATTACTTTAGCGCCTGGCGAGTCCGTACAGTTGCCCCTTGTTTTTTCTTCAACAGTTCCGAAATTGTCGCCCACAGTGACGCATGTCCGTTGTCAACAGCTGCCGAGCCACACTCTGAGATTGTCGCGCAGTTGTTGACTCAGGTCATTCAGCGTCAACTGCCACACACCATAACGACTCCGCGAATTTCGTGCAGGTGCCGACACAAGTCCGTTCACGCCAGCTGCCTCACAAAAATATGAAATCGTCGGTAAAAGCGCAGCGGAAATAGTAACTCACGTTCGATGTCGCGACAGCTATAGCTGTCCGTTACTCGGGGGGAGGGAGGTCACGGTCGATCGCTACCATTCGAGGCAAGGGTCCGGCGGTTCCGAGGAGTGCACGATAAATCCATGGCCGCGAGGAGCAACTAACCCGTTCTCTTGGCCGGCCTACGCAACTCCTGGACCCCAAGGCATCCTTCCTCGTCCCCCCCCCTTCCCCCTCCCCTCGAGGGGTATTACACTCTAAAAAGCGGGGTAGGCTAGGAAAGTAGCTCTGATACCAGGTGTTATGAATGAACTTGCAGAGTGCGCAGAATATCGAATAACGAGAATGTAAAACAATCGAATGACGATACAATGAACGTGACGAGGCCTAAATAGGGGGGAAGTCCTAGCTAGGCAAAGAGGTAGGGCGAAGATGGCTCGGTGATGGTTGCGATTGGAGCGGTGGCGACTTGGGTGTGGTTCGGGGCGGAATTGTAGGTCGAAACTAGCTGTACTCGCTAAAATGCGAGTACAGTAAGGAATTACAATTCCTTACATTGACCCTCTATAGAAGCCCATCCGTACCATTCAATTCAACCCAACCGCCTTTCTTTTGGCGGGATTCCCACCACGCGCTATTTCGAGGGCTTGCCCAGCAAGCCTCCCTGTCAGTTCCCGCCGCTAGTGACGACGAGTGCTGCTCACAGTCCTCCCTCTCTCCCACAATCCCGTCTGCATCCAGGTCTCCGCGCCAGCTCATAGCAGACAGACTTTTCTCCTTCTGTCCCCACCCCACCCCCCAAGAAGCCAAGGGCAGCTCCCTCCAAAGACAATCTCTCTGCCTCCATCCATCGCTGCCGTCCAATCTGTAAACGCCGATCGCCTCCTAGATCTTTCCGTGGCAGTCTCCTAGATATCCGTCCACCTCAGCAGTCCAGCTTGTACCTCCTCATCCAACCTCTCCTCCTTTTGCCAACACATCCCTAAAATCTGGGCAGCGATATTTTCACCTCGGCATTTTAAAACCTATTCACCCTGACCAGTTCTCGATTCCCTATAAACGCATTTCTAAGTTCTTACAGGCCTTGAAGATGGTGTTACCCGTTTTAGCTACGATTTGTTCATGATGCGGTTGTTTGAAATATACCTCTTACGGACAATTGTGAAACTAAAAGCAGTCAGTTCCGCAACGGGTGTTACTCCAATTCCATGTCGTATCCGTGTTGCAGTAGTAGTACCCGCCTCACATCTCACATTCTACCTCGTTAGTCGTGACCTCCTGTCCGCATTCCACACAAACGTTTTCAACTATCCTGGTTTACTACCAACCAAGCAGCTACATCCTCTTAGCATTGGCGCTAAGCCTCCAACTGCGTCTAAGCGGAGCATTTTCTCGACGGAGGCGGCAGGGCCGGCGGTGGTGGCGTGGGTGGCGGCAGCTGCATGGCGGTGACGACTGTAGCAGCCGCAAGCATCGCGAGCAAGGCAATCTGGTGAGAAAGGAAGAGTCTTGTGCGGGAGCAGGTCAGGTGAAACGCGCATAGGAGGGATTAGGGTTCGTTGTCATCAATCACTGAGGATAATAGTTCGACGTAGCCGTTGCTGTGCCGAACGAAACGTTGGAAACTAACAAAACAAGCTCCTCGACTTCCCTCCCCCCCTCCACCTCCCCCTTTTCCCCACCCCTCCTCCCTTTCCCTCCCCACATTTGGTCGCTCTCGTATCCTCCTCCCTTTTCATCGTCTTGCCGTTTTTCTCACCTCTCTCTTCGTGCCGTTCGTCTCCGACCGTGCGACGACCAGCGGCTTTTCAACTAGCGAAATTTCCCGCACAAAATCGTCGGGGCAGCAACCGCGGCGCCACCAGCACCTGTTGATCCCAGATTTCTGCCTGCAGCAGCAGCAGCAGCAGCAGCAACAACAACAACAGCAGCGGTATTGCCTGGAACAGCTGGAGTCGGGTTGCTGTTACCAGAATCGCTTAAATTCGCAAGTGTGCGTGCGAAAGTCGCGTCGCGAGCAGGGGCGAGCGGCGTGTGCGTGTAGTGCGTCGTTACTGCAGCACGTCAGCAGCAGTGGCCGGAGTAGCGTTAGAAGCAGCGCTAGTGGCAGTACCAGCAGTACCCTTAGTAGCACGACAGGCGGCGCCGCCAGCAGCACTTTCGGCTATATAATTGGCATCACGGACCCTATCGGGCTAAAGCGCAAGAGGGGGGAGGTGGCGGCGGGAGCAGCGGCGGCTGAGGTAGCAACAGAAACGCAAGACGCATCTCACGAAGTAGGATCTACTGCTGTTGCTGCTCCTGCTGCCGCTGCTGCTGCTGCTGCTGCTGCTGCTGCTGCTGCTTCTTCGGCCCCCTTTGACCTGCAAAGCGGGGGCGGCGGTGGCTGCGGTAGCTGCGGGGGATCGGGCGGCAGCGGCGGAGGAGGAGGCGGGGGCGAGGCGGGGGGTGAGGCTAAGCGCGAGGGACACGCGGAAGGGGACGTCGGGGGACTAGGGGTTGGGGGGTTTGACATCGGCGCGGAATCTCGAAAATCTCCGCCAGTCCCGCTCGCTTCCCCCCCAAGAGAATTGTTCCGCAAGGCGAGCGAAGATCTTCCGCCGACCGCTGCTACGTGGCGCAGCGCCGCGGAGAGCCTGGCCCGCGCGCAACCAGGGGCGCGTGCAACGGAAAGGGAAGGAGGCGGAAACAGGGAGGATAGAGAGGCTCAGAAAGTGCCTGCGCATAACCCGCGCGAATTCACTGCAGCTGTGACTGCTGCAGCTAGTGCTGGTGGTGGTGCTGGTGCTGGTGGTGGTGGTGGTGGTGGTGCTGGTGCTGGTCCCGTATCCTCCCTTTCCCCGCGCGCCCATTCTCTCGCCACTGGGGACACCGCCCCCTTGCCCTCGCCCGCTCCCGCGCAATACCCCTTCCCCCACGCGCACTTCCCCCCGTACTCCTTCCGCCCACCCTCGTCCGCAAGCAGAGCGTCCGCGCTAGCCAGGAGGTCTAGCCGCGGGGGGCGGCTGGGGGGAGGCGGAGGGTCTTTGAGGGGGAAAGGGGGAGTGGGCGGGTGGGGCAGCGAGAGTTCCGATGACATGACGGCTGCTGCTGCGGTGGCGGCCTCCGCGGCGTCCCCTGTTGCCACTGGCGCTGGCGGAAGCGGAGGTGGCGCGAGCGCGGGGATGGGCGCGGGCGGCGGGGGTGAGCGGATAGGGGGAGGGGCTGGAGCGCGCGCAGGTGCTTCTGTGGGCGTGGGAGGATCGACGGATGGGCACAACGGGGTGTTTGTGAATCGAGGTGAGGGGGGTGGCGGACAGGTCACAGGAGTGGGGACAGAGAGAAAAAAGGCGGGGGGGGCAGGAGAAAATGGGGGGCAGAGGAATGAGATGGTTTGGTATGGTAATTTACTTTGAGGAATGCGAGTCGCAGAGACATGGAGCCTTTGGCATGTCCGGTCAGGAGCGGGGGGGGGGGGGGGGGGGGGGGGAGCTGCCGTGCCATGCCACGGTCTCTTGATTCTGGCGCAGAAGAAAAAAGATGCAGTGTTGGGTGCGGTGGCTGTAGGAGTGGTGGGTGTGGGAGAAGATCACGGTTATGGCATGGGCCAGAGGGAGGGAACAGGAACTGCTAGGAGGAGCTTTTGGTGAATGCAATGGCGTTAAATGTGAAAAAGCATGGTCTTTCCAACGCCACCTCCTTCCTTTTAGTCGCTGCCTCATCTTATCGGCACACCTCAATCCCTTAACTAAGTGTGGTTCCCTTGCCCCTTGTCTCCCTCCGGTTCGCCCAATCAGGCCTTGCCACGTGGGTACACACGCGCCAGCAGTGGAGGACAGGGGGAGGGGCGGGGGGACGAGCGCCACAGGAGCAGAGGCAAAGGGGGGGGGTACCAGGGGGTGAACGCGGGGAAGGGGCAGGTGGTGGGAGGGCGGATGATGCTGGGGGTAGTGGTGCGGAGCAGGAGGGGCGTGCCACAGCAAAGAATGCAATCAGGTGAGAGTGGATATGGTAGCATGCGCTCTCATGGTTTTTGGTGTTAGAAGGACGCATGGATATGACACCGGGCACGACTATGCTATCCCTACTGTGCAAGTCATTTTTCTGGCCCTCCCACCATCCTCCACCCTGCTCCACCTCTACATGAGTGCTGCTCCCGCTTGTCCGCATCGCTCCGATGTTACCTGCTACCTGCTCGCAATTTGCTCTGTCCCTGCATCCTTTTTGTTGTAGGTTTATTATGAGAATTCTCAGGTTTTTTTGCTGTTGTTTGAATTCTCAAATTCAACCTACAGCAAGTTGGGTTGTGCACATCTGTCCGTGCATCGTTGCATCAGTCTGGCTTTTCTCCCTCCTTTCACAGTTCTCTCCTGCCGACACCCTCTCCTTTCCCTCTCTCTCTGCATATCCTTTAACTCCCTCTCTTTTGATCTCGTTCTCCCCTCCATGCCTCCACCTTTCTCTCCATCCCTCCCTCCCTCACTCTCTCCCTCACTCTCTCTCTCACTCCTTCCCTCCATCCCCCTCTCCCTCCCTCCCTCTCCCCCCACGGTAACCCGTGCCCCTCTCTCAGTCCCGGCACTACATACGAGCAACTCCTCTCCACCAACCTTCCCTTCCCCAAACCTGTGCCGTTGCCTGTGAGTGCCTTTCCCTAGTGCCTCTCCTGCCGTTCTCTCCCCTCGTCTCGCCTCCCCTCATGTTTCCCACATTTCGCCTGCCACTTTCTCGCAGCCTTGCTTGCCCCATCCACACATCGCCCCTGTGATGTACTTGCTGTGAGTGTCGCTGTGATCGCTTCTCCTCATCCCTTGTCCCTCGTCCCTCTTCTCAGCCGTGTCAAAGGTCAGAGTCCGCCTCATATTTTTCTGGTGTCTCTTGCTCGCTCCGCCATCCATCCTAGCCCTTTCACTCTTCTTTCCACTGCCAGGCTGCCAGGATCTCTACCTCGGCGTATCTCTCCTCCATTCCCCACACTTTCTTCTTCATCCTTCGCCTGCATGCCCCATCTACCCCGCCCACTCTCTCCTTCCAACTCTCGCTCCCCTTCCTTCCCCCTCCCCCTCACCCTATCTCCGTCCTTGGCCCGTCTCCCTTACAGCCATATCATACCTATTTCCCCCACTGCCCCCCATTCCCCCATCTCCCCGCATTCTCCCAATTTCCCCCATGTCCGCCCATGTCCCCCATGTCCCCCGTCCAACCCCCCTCCCCTTGGTGCTGGGGGCGTGGCATGTGGTGATGCTGAGCCCTGGGCGTGGCAGGAGATGGTGGAGTTCCTAGTGGGAGTGTGGGACCAGGAGGGCCTCTATGACTGACTGCCCGCGAGGTGCTGGGAGAGGGGGGGGTGCTGCTCAGGGGGTGCTGCTAACTAAGGGGATGACGCCCGAAGTTTGTGTGATGCTGGGATGACAACTGTTTATGGCTGCTGTGTGGGGGTGCTGAACAAGCGAAGTGATGTAACCGTGCACTTTGGGTCGAGTCGAGAGTTGCTTGCCGTAGCGAGCTTCTCTATTATTGCTAGAACATGATCAACAGATATTACACCTCTAGGATGGTACGAAGCTGCTCTAACTCTGAAAACACATAATATCGCTACAAGCACCTCTTTGGGGGACCCTGTTAATTTATATTGCATATCTTATACCTGCCTACAGCTTACTAGTGTATTAGGTTAGTTATATCAACTGCTGGTGGTGTACCCTTTGCCTTGCCTATATCTTGTACCACTCTTTCTAGTGCAACCCCTCTTTTGGCCATCTCCTTTCTCTCGCCACTTTCCTAGCTCCCAAGTCCAAAACCCTAGCCATGGCTCCCAACCTAGTTTCCTAGCTAAGAGCCTTTTATGACAAGCTATCAGAGCGGGTTCCACCTTGGGACCCTATCTTAATGGGCCCACCACTAGCCCTCGTTGTGGCGCATCCCGTCGCGCAGCCCGTAGTGCGCATCGTGAGCGCCACGACAATCAGCTCGTCACGCTGCACAGCTGCAGCCCGTCGCCCTCCAAATTAGCCCTCCGCTCTCCGTTCTGGCAGTCAGAGGTGCTGCCGATCAGCCACCGCTGTTTCTGTGCGTATCCCAGCTACAGCAACTGCTCTTCAGGCGACCTGCTACCAGACACCACTAGCTATAGCCGTAGGCAGTTACGGGGGTGTGTTAATTTATATTGCATATCTTATACCTGCCTACAGTGTATTACCGTAATCTCCCTGTCAGAATGTTATTATCTAGCCTGTAGTGGGGTGCTCTATAGCGGGTACAACCCAGTTAGGGTTTGCTATATGTATTGTCAAACATATATGCTGCATATTGTCTAGGCTGTAGTGGGGTAGCCCATATGGGGTACAGCCCAATTAGGGTTTACTACTTGTACTCCTGCATGCTGCTAGTTCATCCATTCCTGCTGCTAGATTCTGACATGGTATCAGAGCACTAAGGTCCGTAGGACCGTTTTTTTTCGGGCCCACCTACCGCTGCGGTTACCGCGCTACCCCACGTACCTGCCTGCCTTGCCTTGCCTTGTGCCGTGCTGCACTATGTGCGCCGTCCAGCAGCCCTAGCGCTGCCTCCTGCTGCCATAGACCAGCGCGCTTCCCCTAGAGGCCCGTAAGGCCCACGCGCCGCCCCTAGAGGCCCGTAAGGCCCGCGCAGCCCGCTGCAGCCGCGCGCAGCCCGCACAGAGCCCGCGCAGCCCGCGCCGAGCCGCGCGCAGCCCGCTGCAGCCGCGCGCAGCCCGCACAGAGCCCACGCAGCCCGCGCCGAGCCGCGCACAGCCCGCTGCAGCCGCGCGCAGCCCGCACCGAGCCGCGCGCAGCCCGCAGCTGCCGCGCGCAGCCCGCGCCGAGCCCACGCAGCCCGCGTCGAGCCGCGCGCGGCCTGCTACGGCCTCGCGAGGCCCGCGCGCGGCCCGCAGCAGCCCGCGCCGAGCCGCGCGCGGCCTGCTACTGCCTCGCGCGGCCCGCGCGCGGCCCGCAACAGCCCGCGCCGAGCCGCGCGCGGCCTGCAACAGCCCGCGCCGAGCCGCGCGCGGCCCGCTACTGCCTAGCGCGGCCGCGCGCGGCCTGCAGCAGCTCAGCGCGCTGTCAGCGCAGCCCGCGCCGAGCCGCGCGCGGCCCTCTGCCTCGGCCACGACCTGCCGCTGATGCGGACCCGCCCTGCAGCTACCACGGCCCCGACCTGCCGCTGATGCGGCCCCACCCTGCAGCTGCCACGGCCCCGACCTGCCGCTGACGCGGCCCCACCCTGCTACTGCCGCTGAAGCGGCCCCGCCCTGCAGCTGCTTCGGCCCTGCTCTGCAGCCGGTTTTGCGGCCCCGACGCCGCCGCTGTCGTGCGCCTACTCGGCCGCCGCCCGTCGAGCGCCGGCCCTGCTCGCCCGGTGAGCGCCTGCTCTCCCAGCCTTTGGTGAGCGCCTGCCTGCCTGCCTGACGGCCTGCCTGTCTGCCTGCCTGCCTGCCGGCCTGGCTGCCTGCCTGCCTGCCGGCCTGCCTGCCTGCGCGACTGCCTGCCTGCCTGCCTGCCTGCCGGCCTGCCTGCCTGCCTGCCGGCCTGCCTGTCTGTCTGCTTGCCTGCCTGCCTGCCTGCCTGTCTGCCTGCCTGCCTGCCTGCCTGCCTGCCGGCCTGCCTGCCTGCCTGCCTGCCTGCCTGCTTGCTTGCCTGCCTGCCGCGCCTGCCTTGCCCGCGCTACTGCTGCTGCTACTGCTACTGGCAGGTGGCCAGATGCAGCTCCAGCGACGTTCACGCGAGCCTCTCACGCCCCAGCAGCTTAGTGAGTGGTATACTAGCTGGGGTTGTCGCAGTAGCCGTCGTAGCTGTCGCCCTGGAGCTGGTCAGTTGGGAGCGTCTGGCAGTGGCCAGCTGCAGCTGCAGGGGCGTCCACGTGAGACACTTACGCCCCGGCAGCTCCAGGAGTGGTACGCTCAGTGTAGCAGGTCTACGCGTACAGTTCGCTGCCCGTACGTCATTCGCACAGGTGCTAGGACTGGTCAGCCTTGTGGGACGCTTGGTCACACACAGTCCCGCTGCTTCGCCCGTCTGAGCGACGACTGGCGCACAGTGTTTGGCGACGAGGCTGAGCTCCCCACCTGGCTGGAGCTGCATGGACAGAGGGTAGATATCTTTGCGCTTGACTATGATGCTATTCTCACTGCCATGTATGCATTGCCTACTAGTGCTGATCGTGCCTGTTCTCTGTGCGTACCGCCTGACCCTGGTGAGGCTGCTGCTCTAGGTGCTAGTGCGTCTCCTGCTCTAGGTGCTGGTGAGGCTGCTGCTCTCGGTGCTAGTACGTCTACTGCTCTAGGTACTGGTGAGGCCGTGGCTTCAGGTGCTGGTGAGTCTGCTCTCTCTGGTACTGCGCCAACTACGGTCTCGCACACCTTCACCCTTGACTCAGGAGCTTCTCGCTCCTTCTTTCGCGACTGCACCACACTCACGCCGCTTAGTCGGCCAGTTCCAGTCTCCCTGGCGGACCCCTCCGGGGGTCCGGTCCTTGCCCACTACTCCACGGTTCTGCCGTGTCCGGCCGTCCCGTCCGGCTCGCTGTCAGGTCTTTACCTCCCCTCGTTCTCTACGAACTTGGTGAGTGGAGCTGACCTCCAGGATCAGGGGGTTGACCAGTTCACTCCTGCGAGTCAGCGAGTGACTCACTGTACGTGTGCTAGGACGGGCCGGCACTTGGCCACGTTCACCCGTGCACCTGGCTCGAGTCTGTACACACTGACCACTGAGTCCCCTCAGGTAGCTGCGTCTGCGTCTACGTCTGGTCAGCTGGCGGCCCCCTGCGAGTGTCGCGCTTTGTCGCACGACACTCTCCTGTGGCACCACCGTCTTGGTCACCCCTCCTTGCCTCGCCTGCGTAGCATGCACTCTCGCTCCCTGGTCTCTGGTCTTCCCAGGTCTCTGCCTGCCCTCCCTCCCTCGCCTGCGCCGCCCTGCATTCCTTGCGTCGAGGGGCGGCAGCGCGCCGCTCCTCACTCCTCCTCGTTTCCTCCCACAGAGGCTCCACTGCAGACGCTCCACCTGGACGTGTGGGGCCCAGCCCGCGTCCAGGGACAGGGCCGCGAGCGGTACTTCCTGCTGGTTGTCGACGACTACACGCGTTACACCACGGTCTTCCCCTTGCAGAGCAAGGGGGACGTCCCTGATGTTTTGATCCCTTGGATCCGCGCTACTCGTCTCCAGCTCCGCGAGCGGTTCCGGCGGGACTTTCCTGTCCTGCGTCTGCACTCTGACAGAGGTGGTGAGTTCTCCTCTGACCTCTTGGCAGCCTACTGTGCGGAGCACGGCATCACCCAGTCGTTCACGCTTCCGGCCTCTCCACAGCAGAATGGGGTTGCTGAGCGTCGCATTGGCTTAGTCATGGAGGTCGCTCGTACCTCCATGATCCATGCGGCTGCCCCCCATTTCCTGTGGCCGTTTGCGGTCCGGTACGCCGCGCATCAGCTCAACCTCTGGCCCCGTGTCTCCTTGCCGGAGACCTCGCCCACACTGCTGTGGACGGGGAAGGTTGGTGATGCGTCGCGTTTCCGGGTCTGGGGTGCTCGTGCCTTTGTCCGCGATACCACCGCGGACAAGCTCTCCGCCCGCGCTGTTCCCTGTGTCTTCCTTGGCTTTGTCCCTGACGCGCCTGGTTGGCAGTTTTACCATCCCACCTCGCGCCGTGTCTTTGCGTCTCAGGACGTCACGTTCGACGAGTCGGTTCCCTTTTACCGTCTCTTCCCCTACCGCACTGCCCCGCTCCCCCCCCCGCCGCTCTTCCTCGCTCCAGGTGCTCCCCAGGTAGACCCCCTCCCCACTCCTGGTCCTGCTCCTTCAGGTGTTTCTCAGGTAGACCCTCCTCCCTTGACTGCGCCGGTTGAGGTCACTGGTGACTCAGGTCCTACTGCGAGTGGTCCTGCTCGGGGTGCTACTTCTAGGGGTGCTGAGCCTGGGGGTGCGGAGCCTGGGGGTGCTGAGCCTGGGGGTGCTGAGCCTGAGGGTGCGGAGCTTGAGGGTGTGGAGCCTGGTGGTGCTGAGCCTGAGTGTGAGGGGTCTGGGGGTGCTGAGCTTGGCGGTACTGACGCTGGAGGTTCTGGAGCTACTGAGGGTGCTGGCGCTGGAGGTTCGGGAGCTGCTGGAGGGCCTAGTACTGGTGGCGCTGGAGCTGGAGGTTCTGGAGCTGCTGAGGGTGCTCGTGCTGGAGGTTCTGGAGCCGCTGGAGGTACTGGTGCTGAGGGTACTGACACCGGAGGTTCTGGAGCCGTTGGGGGTGCGGGCGCTGAGGGTTCTGAGTCTGCTGTTGCGCGGTCTCCTTGGAGTAGCCGCCTTCGTCCACGTGT